GGGGGGGGGGGGGGGGGGGGGGGGGAGGGAGAGAGTTATACGCCTGTATTCTAAAAGCACACTCACACTTGAATAGCTGGAGGGTTAGTGTCGTACCTTACTACCTAACTACTCACCCTCCAGCTATTCAAAAACAGCATTGACACTCAAGGGAAACTCAGATTGAACCCGTCCACTCTTTGAGTGTGCTTTCAGAGATGATATAGTATAGTTACAACAGTCTTAGCTACATTTTCGTTCTATAATTTCGTAAAGTAAGTAAAATATTTTCGTTCCGAACTGTTTCGCTGCAATCAGTAGTTGTCGAGTTAGTAGATTAATCATAAGTAATTATTCAATCAGTGTAATTTTCAGAATTAGCTATCAATTAAACGTAAAAAATTGTCTGAAAATTTCTGCAAAAATCTACATCCCCAAACAATTTCTAGGAACTAGGTTCCCAGGTTCCGATACTTTTTCCACTTCTGGTAATGTATTATCCGAACATTATAACTTAATGAGCAATTTGCTGTCACTCCAGGTTCCGTGGACAGATCTTCGTTATCTGTTTGGTGAGATCATGTATGGTGGACATATTACCGATGATTGGGATAGAAGACTTTGTCGTACTTACCTTGAAGAATACATGAAAGCTGAAATGGTCAGTATTCTATTTTACCAAACTGACTTTGTTTTAGCCTGCGAACAATCTATAACAGAAATTCGTTTCTGTAGACTGTTCGCATGCTAACTTTGTTTTAGCTATATCTCTGTCAATTCAAGCTTGATCTAAACTGCTCTCTACAGAGGTCCACTACGGATCACCCTTTATATAAATTATATGTCTATAGTGTTACTACAGGAGGAAAGCTAAACTAAACTAAACTAAACTAAACTAAACTAAACTAAACTAAATATAATAGCATTATTTATTCTAGATAACTCTATTGGTTATGCCTAAACTGTTCTCCCTAGAGATCCAGTGAAGGTCATTCCTCATAGATCTAGTGTTACTACACGGGGAGACCTGGACTAATTTTATTGAGGATATATGGCTCTAGCTGTTATGAAAATTTCTGTGATCACAGTAGGAATTTTGCATGGGTAAATTCTAGGTTTTGAATGATTTGTAAGAAATTTTTGAGGGAAATGACTCATTGTTTTTCATTTCAAGCATTTCTTACAAATCTTTCAAAACCTAGAAGAATGTACCTAGTGCAAATTCCTACTGTCGTCACAGAAACTTTGATAGTGTAACCCAGCCATTAGAAGACATAACATTCTCCATTCTTCATTAAGATAGACTAACTATTTTAATTCATATTTCCAGTTGGAAGGCGAACTCAATCTTGCCCCAGGCTTCCCCGTTCCAAGCAACAGTGATTACAAAGGCTATCATGCATATATCGACGACGTTTTACCACCAGAAAGTCCGTATCTCTACGGCTTACACCCGAATGCTGAGATTGGCTTCCTGACCGCGACCTCAGATAACCTCTTTAAGACTGTGCTTGAGATGCAACCACGTGACGCAGGTGGTGGAGAAGGTGGCGGAGGTACACGTGAGGAGAAGGTGGGTTATTTGGGGGTATGATAAATATGTCGTCAGTATATACAATTCATATAATTTTTGTGTTATTACAAAATTAAAATCTATCTTACTTTTAAATGTTTGAGGTAATCAAAATCTGTTATCAGACTAACTTAAGTTTTGGAATTCAAGGCAGCACCACTGCTCTAGTTCAAAGTACCAAAAGTCCAACATTAATAATTCATTTAGTTTGATACTTAGATTGAAAAAAACAAATTCGTAATTTTGCTGTAAAGGAAAACCTTGCTGGATCCAGCACTGGAAACATTATCGCTCTGTAGCAAATCCAATGGCCAAATTTTACAAAAACCTGGCATTTTCGTAGCAGTGTAAACAAGAGCCGAAACTTTCTGCAAAAACTCTCATACAGACTCTCGCTTCTCAACTCTCTCATTAGACAAATTTAGATCGAGGACGCAGACGTCAAAGACGACGTAAAAATGGCGTGTTGTGTCCATGTATGGATATGCCACACCATTTTGACGCCATTTTCACGTCGTCTTTGACGTCCGCGTCCTCGATCTAAATCTGCCTATTCTCGTTTGACAACGACTTAAATAACAGTAGACATTATTCTGATGATAGTTCTAATTCTAACAGGTTTCTCGGACACTTTATATACTTGTACGAGAGCGAGTAACGGTCGCAACCTGGATGCAAACAATTTAGATAATATATTGTACACGCGAAAAAATTGAGAAAATGATATCAACAGGTGTGAACAAGGTTGTGCGGCCCACTATGAACAGTATTGTCAACATGTTGTCACAGCATTATTCAACTGTAACAACTTGGAACAACATGGTTGACAACTTGTTCATAGTTGGATAGATAGATAGATAGATAGATAGACAGACAGACAAGGATAGGATAGGATAGGATAGGATTGTTTAATAAGATTAACACATAGCATGGCATAAGGCTGAATTGCGTGCCAAATTTTACAAGAGAAATTATTAAAATAAGTTAATTCTATATTTACAGAAGTTTAAGACGCACAACATTGTTCACGCCTGTCGATATCAACTTGGAACAACCTGTGCGTTAAAAACGCCGTGTAGTCTTTTAACCTGATGGTGAAATAAATTCCGAAACGTCTTTTTTATTAAAAAAAATGTTAAGCCTTGTTCTTGGTCATTATAATAACACAAAAAAGTCTATTAATACAAGGAGGGTAAGAGAAAGTTCGATGCTAAATATTTTGAGTTCATATAATTGTGTTAGGTGAAACAAGTTCTTGACGAGATCTTGGAGAAACTGCCAGATGATTTCAACGTACAAGAAATGATGGCGCGTTGCGAAGATCGTAATCCCTACGTTGTCGTGGCTTTCCAGGAATGTGAACGTATGAGTATGTTGACCAGTGAAATGAGACGAAGTTTGAGAGAGTTAGATCTTGGTTTGAAGGTATGTTGTACAATGTAGTTTTGTTACAACTGATCAGATATAAGCCGGTTACAGATGAGCAAGTTTTCTATGACAAGTTTTCATATGACAAGTTTTATTTACTGGTGTGAACGTGTCAACAAGTTTAATTGTTTACAAGTTTACAAATTTACTTGCCAATCACATCAAATGCTCAGATTACTTTGACAAGTTTTCTTTGTTGACCCATACAGACGAACAAAATTTGTACTTTGACAATTTTTTCTATGACAAGTGCACTTGTTCAAAAGCTAGCATGCTAGCTTTTGAACAAGTGCACTTGTCATAGAAAAAAATGTAAAAGTTGCGCGTACAGACGAGCAAATAAAACTTGTCACATAAAAACTTGTCATAGAAAACTTGCTCGTCTGTAACCGGCTATATGGTAGTAATCTTTCATATAGAAGCGCCATTATTTATGATTTAGCACTGAAGAGAAAATATTTTTCTTGGTAAAAATTTTGCTGATCCTGAACCATTAAAAAGTAAGAAAAATTTTACCCAACCTCAAATATCAATTAAAAAATAAATACAGTAAAACCCTATGTGTCGCCTAGGGTGAACTGACAATCACGGCTGATATGGAAGACCTTTCAAATGCTTTATTCTTTGATCACGTGCCCGGCTCGTGGGAGCGGCGTGCCTACCCCTCCATGGCCACCCTTGCAGCCTGGTTCTCAGACCTCTTGCTGCGCATCAAAGAGCTCGAGAGTTGGACTTCGGATTTCTGCCTCCCCAATGTCGTTTGGCTTTCGGGCTTTTTCAACCCACAGTCATTCTTGACCGCAATCGAGCAATCGATGGCGCGCAAAAACGAATGGCCTTTGGACAAGATGACGTTATCTGTTGATGTCACCAAGAAGAACAAAGAGGACTTTAATAGCCCCCCTCGCGAGGGGGCGTACGTTCATGGCTTGTTCATGGAGGGAGCTCGGTGGGACACACAGACAGGTATGATTGCAGACTCCAGGCTTAAAGAACTCACACCAAACATGCCTGTGGTATTTATTAAGGCCATTCCAGTTGATAAGCAGGAGACGAAGAATGTGTACGAATGCCCTGTGTATAAAACACGACAACGTGGTCCTACGTACGTGTGGAATTTCTTCCTGAAGACCAAAGAAAACCCTGCAAAATGGACCCTCGCTGGAGTTGCGTTGCTCTTGAGCGCTTGAGAGTTTTAAAATATCCAAAATACCAAAAAAAAAAATTCAGAATTTTTTTCAATATTTCCATAGCATTGTTGTGAAAGTTTGTAGAGTAATTGTAAAAAAGTTGATTGCCCATACATTGTATAAATGAATATTTTTATCTTAAGGCTTAAAGAAAAGCCTTTGTTAACTTATTTTTTATCGCAACGTAATATAGTGACAGTTTTTGTCTAAAGAAAAAAGTGTGTAATATATAATTGAGATGGTGTATTTATTAAACAGATTTTAACTTTAAAGATGTTTTTGTATGATTTTTGAAGTGTCTATATAGATCTATTTAGAAGTATGGAACTATATTATCAAAGAATCATAGAACCATATAACTATAGAAACATAGAATCATAACTATATAAATATACAACCACGGAACCGTTGAATTTGGTTGATTTTGCACAGGCTATCAATCTCTGAAATTGACCTATCAACATGTCGTTATATCGGTGGAAGGTAACGAAATCCAAAAACACATAAAGACACATAGGTTTCGATTTTGAAACATTTTTTTACAGTAGTAGGTAGGAGTTACAGTGGATATTCGCATGTTATTTGCGAAAGAAATTACGTGCAGACCGTCGCTTGCTAAGGGTTAGCAGTCGCACAACTTTCCGAACTTCTTCAGAAGAGTCGACTATGTTGATCAGAACCTCTCAGAATCGTCCCTATCAAATCAAACGTTTGACGGCATGTCTGAACCTTCTCCAATTAGCCGTGTCGTGACACGCTTGGGGCTAGGGCATGCACTACACTCGACATCGTGAACACATCCTTGTTACAATTGGGATGGGTTATGAAGTTTGTCATGTCATACACTACGCCACCCGTAAACAGAGCTACTTTTCGGCGAAGCTCCCTCCCTCCCTTAGGGGCCTGTTCGTTTTAGGCTCAATTGGGGAAGGGCATAAGGGGTTGGGCAAATAATTTTTTTCAACAGAGATATGGGGCATTTTAGAGAGAGGGGGAGGCTTAGTAGAGGATTTAAGATGACATGTAAATCTCTCTCGAAATGTACTTCAGTTCATATTAGGCAGCGTAGTTCATATTGTATAACGTTGACTACATCACATTCATCCTTCGAGAATGAATGTCGAAGCCCAAGTCAAGCACAGCACAGTTCCAAGCCCCTCCCGCATCACGTCTGGCATATTAGGTCAGATAGAGCCAAGTCGTTGGACGAAAGATATCGACAGTTCAGATTCCGATATGGTCTGAAACAGCCAAGCAACCTTTCCTGCGAAGATTAGTCAGATGCGCAACCGATCATCCTAAGTTGAAAACGACGGTCAAACGCACGCACTTTTGCCAAATACAGATTCACGGATACAGGAGAGGAGACGTGTACAGTACAATAAAATCCCGGTCCAAGTCCAAAGACGACAACATACTAGCGCACGGTGTTGCGCCTTGTGCCCCTGCGCAAGACAGCACGATCCCGCGCCGACCTAAGCAAGACACGGATGGTGGAATCCAGTTCTTTCACGTTGTTGAAGAAGATCTCGATTTCCTCGTCATGGTTGACATCAGACAAGTCAAACGCAGGGAGGCTTGCCTTTGGAAATGGGAATTGGGTGCGCTCTAGAAAATGAAACGAAGATATCAGTGATTGCAAAATATATGTCGAAATATATATAGATAATAATATATGATTTAACAAATATAAAACATTTTCCGTGTTGATATACAGTTATATCAACACGAGTGGAATTGGGAAAACGAGAAATTGCATGGAAACACGACGCCCGAAGGGCGGAGTGTTTTCATACAATTTCGAGTTTTCCCAACTTCCACGAGTGTTGATATAACTATATATCAAGACGGAAAAAATGTTTTATATTTTTTTTATAATATAGCAATGTCAAAAGCCCGAAGGATAAGAAAAATTTCCGTGTTTACAAGCGGCGGAAAATTTCCCGTGTTGACATGGAGTTATATCAACACGGCTCTTAGCCAATCAGCGTTCAGAATTTACAAATGCTATATTATAAATAATAATATATGACATATTATTAGCACCGATAATGTCCGGGCTTACGGATCGAAAGCTTTGCAGTAATAAATTTACGTGGTGTTTCCACAAACAAAAAGTATTATACGAGCAAGTTGTTACGGATCTATCTTTTCTAGCGTAAAAATCTCGCAGCTTGTCAACAAGATATATTCGCACTGCTTGTTCCCAGTTCTTGACAAATTTGGATAAAAATCTGCCAGGATGAGGAATGCTGGTACCATCGTTATGATCGCAACAGGGATTCAGATTGGGGCAAACGTAGCTGCCAATACTATTAAAACCAACTTGAGGAGTTGTTTCATTTGTTTATCGTCCATCGTCTCAATGGACGACCAACACTGGAATGAAATAAAAGTACATAAGATGAATAGCATAAGACGGAGCCGACAGCTAAAGCCTTGATAAGCGAGAGTTTCCATGAGAGTTTCCTCAACTCTCATGCCCCAGTCAAACGAGAACAAGAAAAACTGACTTCAAATTTTAAGAATACACAAATTTAGGCTTGCGTTTTATTTTTCTTTTCAAACTAGAACTCGCGCAAAGAACTCATTATTAGCTAATTGACCAATTAGACCTAATTAGGTTATGACGTTTAGAATAGCCGTTAACTATATGACGACATCTTACGTCACAATCAGTCTGGAAGATTTAATTTGTTCGACTTCCAAGACTGTATCAAGTCATTTTACACGAGCTGCAAACAAATCTGATTTCAAGTCGATATCAGGATTTGTTCCAACTGCCTGTAGTATTCTAGTTGTTATGACACGTTTTTGACTCGAGTTCTTATCACTGATAAACACAAAGCAAAAATGAACTTGTTTTGTAATTGGCTTCCGTAGACAAAAGTGATCAGTCTAGCTGTGACGTACAAAATATCAGTATTCTATAGTTTTTATTGTGTTTCATTGTTATATTCAACGAATCACAGAATTAGTTCATATGGCTTCGCAGTGTTTAAATTCCCACTTTGACTAGTTGAGGCGTGATATCACAAGTATCAAACCAAAACGTGTTGTACTTTTTTTTGTTTCCTGGGATGGGTTAGCTTAACCCTAGGTTAACCTAAAATTCAAAGCAAACTTTCCAACAGCGTTTTTATAAATTTGGAAATATTTCTTCATAAATCTGGTCTGGATCAGTAGGAGTTTTCTTTTATGAAGTTTTTGTGTTAAGATATTTCAGATGTGCAGCATTACACAAACTAAAACAGCAGGTTAAATTTTAATCCAGGGTTAGCGCTAGTACAACTTTGAACGACCGGCCACAGATCAAACGACAATGAGAGTTGATTATAAGAGTTGAGAAGAGCGAGAGTTTGCATGAATTTTCTCAACGCTCATGCTCTGGCCAAACGAGTTGCATGAGAGTTGATGAGAATAAAACAAAAGTTATTCCGAATAAGGAGTGCATAATATTAACACACAATTTATAAAAAAAAACCCTGTATATTTCGAATCAAATCTGATTCATCTTCAGCAGTGTTTTGCAAGATATGAATTGATGAGAATTGACTGGATATTACCGCGCCCGTATCGAAAATCCTCATCATTACAAGTCTCAGCAAAATTTGAACCAACTCAAAATTGAATGAGAAGCAACGATACTACTATAACATTTTAATGACATACTTAATTAACATGCCTTATATACCCGCTATACAAAATTTTCCAATTATTACTCACCTCAATTTATCTGAGTATCCCTGATGTGCTGTAATAGGCTTCGATCGAACTTGATAGGCATCAATAAACGTAGAAAAATCAAATTTCTTTTCAAAATCCTTTAACGCTTTGTAGAACGAACTCGCGCGGGAAACTAGCAATTAGCTTAATTAGAAACAATCAAGCGCAAGTAATTACGTGACGTAAACGCGTGACGTAAACGTGTTTTGTACGATTTTGAAGTGTCTAGATAGATCTATTTAGAAGTATAGAACTATATTATCAAAGATCATACAACCATATAACTATACTGTAGAAAAATAGAATCATAGAAACGTAAAACCATGTAACCATAGAACTACTGAACCATAGAACTATTGAACTGTATAGAACCATAAAACTGTAGAACCATAAAACTGTAGAACCATGTAACCATAGAACTATTGAACCATAGAACTATTGAACTGTATAGAACCTTCAAACACTCATTAATAATTCATGAAGCAATTATCCAATCTCGAGTAAGAAATTAGTCACGTGCATACGTCTTTATACCAGCTAAAGAACACTTTAACAAAGGACCATTGTTATGCAAACTATATAAATATTTTTATATAAAGATTTTTATATAAAGATTTTTATATAAAGATTTTTATATAAAGATTTGACTTATTATGCAAACGTTTTTGAAGCCATTTAAAAAACTCGCAGGTCGTGTTTTATTAGGTCTAAAGCCACTCGCGCTGCGCGCTCGTGGCTTTAAACCTAATAAAACACTCCTGCTCGTTTTTTAAATAGTACATAAAACTATAGACCATGTAACCATAGAACTACTGAACCATAGAACTATTGAACTGTATGGAACTGTAGAACCATAGAACTGTAGAACCATCACTGTAACCATAGAACTACTGAACCATAGAACTATTGATCTATATAGAACTGTAGAACCATAAAACTGTAGAACCATGTAACCATAGAACTACTGAACCATAGAACTATTGATCTATATAGAACTGTAGAACTGTAGAACCATAGAACATGTAGAACCATAGAACTGTAGTATAATGGAACTGCCGGTAGAACCATAGAATTGTAGTATCATAGAACTGTAGAACTATAAAACTGTAGAACCATAGAACATGTAGAACCATAGAACTGTAGAACCGGCATAGAACTGTAGTATCATAGAATTGTAGAACCATAGAACTATAAAATTGTAGAACCATAGAACTATAGAACCATAGAACTGTAGAACCATAGAACTGTATATAAAACTGTAGAACCATAGAGCAATATAGAACTAAGTGAAGAACCTTTAGAACTATTACTATAGAACCATTGAACTATGGAACTATAGAACCTATCATACAACCATTGAACTACAGAACCATTAGAACTATCATAGAAATATAGAACCGTATAGAAATATAGTGCCATTATATAACTGTAATATCACATGACGCTAGAACTATATACAGCCATATGGAACTATAGGACCATTAGAACTATAGAACCATGAATAGAAGTATAAATTCATAGAAATGTAGAACCACAGAACAATAGAAATATGTCACCATGCATATACCATAACAACTATAGGACCATTAGTACTATAGAACTATGTAACATGCATATAACTATAAATTCATAGAAATGTAGAACCACAGAATAATAGAAGTATGTCACCATGCATAGACCATAATAATTATAGGACCGTTAGACCTATACATAGAACCGTTAAATTTGGTTGATTTTGCACTGGCAATCAATCTCTGAAACTGACTACATTTATACCGAGATGTTGTTTCGCTGATGTTCAAAATAGCATATCAACATGTCGTTATTTCGGTGGAAGGTTTTACGAAATCCCAAAACACATAAAAAGACACAGGATTCGATTTTGAAACATTTTTTTTACAGTAGTAGGTAGGAGTTACAGATTCGCATGTTAAATGCGAAAGAAATTGCGCACAGACCGTCGTTTGGGTTAGCAGTCACACAACATTCCGAACTTCTTCAGAAGAGTCGACTATGTTGATCAGAACCTCTCAGAATCGTCCCTATCAAATCAAACGTTTGACGGCATGTCTGAACCTTCTCCAATTAGCCGTGTCGTGACACGCTTGGGGCTAGGGCATGCACTCGACTCGACATCGTGCCGAACACATCCTTGCTACAATTGAGATGGGTTATGATGTTTGTCATGTCATACACTACGCCACACGTAAACAGAGCCACTTTTCGGCGAAGCTCCCTTCCTCCCTTAGGGGCCTGTTCGTTTTAGGCTCAATTGGGGAAGGGTATAAGGGATTGGGCAAATAATTTTTTTCAACAGAGATGGGGGCATTTTAGAGAGAGAGGGAAGCTTAGTAGAGGATTTAAGATGACATGTAAATCTATCTCGAAATGTACTTCAGTTCATATTAGGCAGCGTAGTTCATATTGTATAACGTTGACTACATCACATTCATCCTTCGAGAATGAATGTCGAAGCCCAAGTCAAGCGCAGCACAGTTCCAAGCCCCTCCCGCATCACGTCTGGCATATTAGGTCAGATAGAGCCAAGTCGTTGGACGAAAGAATATGAGGTGTGAATATGGACAGAAATGCAATTGGATCGGGACAAAAATACAATTGGATCGGACAGTGTTTAATTAATGCGGGCTGAAAGCCATTGGGTGTTAAACAATTCAATCGGGCTTTAAACAATTCAATCGGGCTTTAAACAATCGGGCGTTAAACAATTCAATCGGGCGTTAAACAATTCAATCGGGCGTTAAACAATTCAATCGGGCGTTAAACAATTCAATCGGGCGTTAAACAATTTAATCGGGCTTTAAACAATTAGATCGGGCATAATCAGTCGGGCTTAAAGCCATCGGGTGTTAAACAATTAGATCGGGCATAATCAGTCGGGCTTGAAGCCATCGGGTGTTCAACAATTAGATCGGGCATAATCAGTCGGGCTTAAAGCCATCGGGTGTTAAACAATTAGATCGGGCATAATCAGTCGGGCTGAAAGCCATCGGGTGTTAAACAATTAGATCGGGCATAATCAGTCGGGAAACCAATATACCCGAACAAGTTACAGTCAAAATACAAGAACCTTCCCGCTTCTGTAGTGTGTTGACATTTTCTGTAATTTGTTCTGTATTACTGTGTAAACGGTTACCGATTTATAAACAAATACCGCGATAAAATTCATATTTCGCAGCTTTCATGTGTTAAAATGCCGTGAATAAAACGAGAAATGTATTTCTCGCCACAATTTATTATAACAAAGCCAAAGGAAACTAAATGTTGTGGCAATATTTTGATGCTTGAAATAAATTTGGTACTGAAATCGCTGAGAAAAACAGAAAATGTTACAGAGAATATTCAATTCGCATTATAGACTTTCAAAACTAGGCTTGGGCAAGGAGATGCAACTAAATTACCACAGCTAGAAAGCGGCATACTAAAATGAGTAAAAATCAGGTCGCGAAATGTTGTAAAATGCGGGAAATATAGCCTTGCAAATTTTGTATACTTTTGTATTGCGTGCCGAAAATTGTAGTAAGGGGCCCACCATTTAACTTTTGAGGGGGAGGGTGGATGATTTTGAAAAAAAATTCCTGCAAGGCTATTCTGAACAAAAAAAATACCTGCACTAACAAACTGGGGAAAAAAATATCTTGCCAAAGTATTTGGTGGGAAAAAAATGTTGCAAAACAGCATGGTTGCAGGGATCGATTTGACCAGTCCGAGAAGATCAGCTGGTTTGATTTTCAGGGACTAGTGTAAGGTTAATTTCTTGTTGGAAAACTCCTCAAAATGCTGGAAATAGCTTATCTGAGCTTCAAAAAATCCAAAATTTTCAGGGGCCATGTCACCAGACCCCTCTAGAGGCTCGCGCCTTCGGTGGTCGACTCAGTTGTCTCAGAGTCCTAGTTAAGCATGGCCTGAGCTGCTGCCCTATGACGTATACTTATTAGTTAAACCATGCATATATATGCTGTAGGTAGCTGCAGTGATACAGACAGGGCTGTAGCAAGGGGGGTATTGGGGGTGGTTAACCCCCCTCCCCCCCCAACTTTTTTAGAATCAACATATTCAGAAAATCGGGTTGGCCATTCGGAAAATTAGTAGAACAAAGTTTTAGTTGTTAAACATAGAAAATATTATAAAATTGTATTGTCACTATAAATTGTAAGCAAATTGTAAATTTCGTCATACTAAAACGCTTTTTTCTGACCATCAGCATTCTGTCAAAACTTCCCCAAAGTCCAGGAAATGGCATTTCAGAGACTCGAAATATTAAAATTTCCTCGGGCCTCCGGTCCTCGTTTTCTGCCCCCAATAAACAAAAGCTCCCTACCGCACTGCTTCTGTAATATGTCTGTGCGTAAAATATGCGTATTTTTGTTTGTAAATTGCGTCTTCATTTTCCGAATAGCAAACACCTTTGTGGCTTAGTATGCCATGATATATTCGGAAATTTTTTTCGTCATTCGAAAATTTTTGGCCTACGCCCCCTAACTATACATGCTAGCTACGGCCCTCAGGATACGGACTTGCCGACTGGAACTTCTCCAGGTCCCCCGCTAATTATGCCCACTCCAGTTACACAACCTTAAAAAAGGCCCTGAACCAAATGTTATACCTCATAGCAATATCATCACCAATATGTATTATTAAGAGCAATGCATGAAGCTAGAAAACTCAACGTTAACTATAATTAAAGAATCTAACTAGTATAAGCTATTGAAAAAAAAATGCTGCGAAAGAAAGTGTGGCAAAAAAAAATCGTACATGGTGATGGGATAAAAAAAATATCTTGCACATAATGATCCCAGAAAAAAATTCTCTGCCAGCAGTAAATCACCCACCCCCTCCCTCAAAAGTTAAACGGTCGGCCCCTAATTTCCGCACGCAAACAAAAGTATGCAAAATTTGCAAACGGCTTTGCAAGGCTATATTTTCTGCATTTTACAGCATTTCGCAACCAAACGTTGCAATTTTACTCATCGTAGTATGTGCTCTTTCTAGCTGTGCTTGTGGTGCCGATTTATTTGCATCTCCTTGCCGGCTATAGTTTTGAAATTAGTCTATAATGCGAATTGTACTATTCTCTGTAAAATTTTCTGTTTTTCTGTAGCGATTTATACCAAATTTATTTAAACAAGTATCAAAATATGGCCACAACATTTAGTTTCCTTTGTTTTTATTTATTATATAAAGTATAGTGCTTTATAGAGATTTCGAGCACTGATAAAACTGATAATCTCACATGTGAGTTATTTATGATAATCTGGCATGTGAAAATTATCACTTTTCAAATTTCAATTATCGCTTTTCTCTAAAAAAGCTTCAAATTTCAATTATCGCTTTTCAAAGACCGTCCTATATATAATAAACAGAAAAATACACTGGGCGCGAACGAGTGAGATATTCAGGTTCAACACGGAAATAAATCTGGTATTTCCAAGCACCCATGTATAAAGGCCCGTTTCCACTCAGGAAAATTTTCCAAGGAAAGAAAAATTTGTAAAATGTGATTGGCCGACACAAACTTTCCGTGGGAAAAAAATTTTGAAGTTGACTCTCAATCTATGATATTTTCGGAAAAATTTTGGGACTGGAGTTCCCCTTTAAGATCCAGGACGCGGCCGCCTCAACGACGCAGTCTGAATTTCAGCTCAAGAATGAGCGCTAAGCAATTTTATTACTGTAATAAATGTTTCAAGATTTTTCAAATAACATTACAAACTGCTAAGTTCGACTAAAGCGATGCAATGTTTGCTGTAATTTCGACTTTAGTTTAAGTAACACTTCTTGGGTCGCAATAAGCTTTCAGGTTGGTGAGGTTGCGCCATGAAAGACGTGATAAAACTTAGTTTTATGTTGTGTTGAGAATGACAAATCCGTTGAGAATACTCCTGGGACCACAGATTATTGGCACAGTTTTGACTCTCAATGTATGATATTTTCGGAAACATTTCTGTCCGTGGAAAATTTTCTTGAGTGGAAATGAGCCTTTATCAGTCTATAGTATAATAAATTGTGGCGAGAAATACATTTCTCGTTTTATTCACGGCATTTTAACACATGCAAGCTGCGAAATATGAATTTTATCGCGGCATTTTTTTATAAATCGGTAACCGTTTACACAGTAATACAGAACAAATTACAGAAAATGTCAACACACTACAGAAGCGGGAAGGTTCTTGTATTTTGACTGTAACTTGTTCGGGTATATTGGTTTCCCGACTGATTATGCCCGATCTAATTGTTTAACACCCGATGGCTTTAAGCCCAACTGATTATGCCCGATCTAATTGTTGAACACCCGATGGCTTCAAGCCCGACTGATTATGCCCGATCTAATTGTTTAACACCCGATGGCTTTAAGCCCGACTGATTATGCCCGATCTAATTGTTTAAAGCCCGATTAAATTGTTTAACGCCCGATTGAATTGTTTAACGCCCGATTGAATTGTTTAACGCCCGATTGAATTGTTTAACGCCCGATTGAATTGTTTAACGCCCGATTGTTTAAAGCCCGATTGAATTGTTTAAAGCCCGATTGAATTGTTTAACACCCAATGGCTTTCAGCCCGCATTAATTAAACACTGTCCGATCCAATTGTATTTTTGTCCCGATCCAATTGCATTTTTGTCCATATCCACACCTCATACAGTTGGTAGAACATTGGGCTAGTATCCCAAAGGTGGCGGGTTCGACTCCCACCGTGACCAAGCAAACTTTTCAGCTTGCCCGCTGTGGATGCATATTCAGAGTAACGTCACAAATATCATACTAAAACTCCGTTTTCTGACCATCAGAATTCTGTCAAAACTTCTCCAAAGTCCAGGAAATGGCATTTCAGAGAATCTAAATTTAAAAATTTCCTCGGGCCTTCGGCCCTCGTTCCCAGCCCCCAATAAAAATGAGCTTCCTACGATGCAAAAACTAGACTTGCTCCAAGTAATTGTATGTAACGTACAATATAGATGTACAATATATAGATGTCCACAAAGAGAGACTTGGAGCAAATCTATGCAAAAACATGCAGTTGACTGGCCAGAAGGCGGGGCCTTCAGCCAATACAGCGCGTTTATTGGCCAGAAAATGTAATCGACTGGCTAGGAAGATGGCGGCCAGGGTGACATAAACTTCAAAGCTTCCGACGTAATTAGTGGCCCTTCTGTGTGCCTTATTCTGTGCCATGGGCACAGAATACTACACCACAGAATAGATACTGGACCAGAAGTGTCACTCAGACGCAGTGCTCACTGCTCAGACGATATTTTTCCGAAATTCTACGAGTGCTGACGTGAAAATACGCCATCATATCACGCCATCCTGGAATGCACACGGAAGTTTTTCATAGGCCAAGCACAGCCTCGTACCCAGGCGCTAAAAATGGGCACACTACAGTGTTTTTATATAGATCAGTGGCGCGACCACCCCCGCGCCACAGAATAAGGTACACAGCAACCTCGTCCCCAGGGCCTATTGAGGAAGGAGGCGAAGCTGCCCTTAGCATCTTTCCTCAAAAGGCCCTGGGGACGAGGTTGGCCACAGAAGGTCGACTCGAGTAACGCTGCCACGCCATGATTCATCATCAAAATGCTGACGCCATGGTCATAGGCAGTGCGGGTTTGAGAGGCATTCCCCCCCTGGACATCTGCCATTTTGAATAATATCAGGGTGGTGAATGCCTCTCAAACGCGCACTGGCTAGGACCATGGCGTCAGCATTTGATGACGAATTACGGGTTACGCCAAAATCATAGCAAAATCATAGGAAAAACAAAGAAGTCGGCCTTCTGTGTACCTTATTCTGTGCCCGCCATAGATATCTTATATACACTAGATAGCGCATCTCTTTTAGTAAAATTGAAGCCAAGAATATTCCAGCGGTTACTGCCATTTGAATAGATGGCGGCAATGCTGGTCGTTCCCACTTGCTAATAAACACTTAAAAACAACAATAACTTTCATCATTTGAATATTTTAAAAACGAATTTGGAATAGGGTTAACTTAATGTTTAAGCTCTCTGTTTAAGAAATAGGAAACATACGAATCTTCTAATTTCATGGGAACGACCTAAGACTGCAATCACGGCTTCAATTTTTGAATTGCAGAATAATTAGATGCACTATCTAGTGTATATAAGATATCTATGGTGCCCGCGCGCTCGCTCATCTTAGCCACTGATCTATATAAAAGTACTGTAGTGTGCCTATTTTTAGTTAATTGCGCCTGGGTACGAGGCTGGGCCAAGCACAGGTACAAAGTGCTGTGTGCACTCCAGGATGGCGTCATAGCACGTAAAAAAATTTTGGACATTTTCCTTCAGCCAAAACACATAGGAGTGTCACTTCTGGTCCGGTATGTATGTATTCTGTGACTACACATATAAAGTCCATATGGCTTCATTGTTTTTTGCGTAAGCTCTATTCGTCATGATTCGTCACTCAGCAAGTACCGTAAACAGAAGCAGTCACCCCCTGGACATGCGCCATTTTTAGTATTTCCAGGGAGGTGACTGCTTCTGATTACAGTACTTGCTGAGTGACGAATCATGACGAATAGAGCTTACGCAAAAAACAATGGAGATGGACTTCTGTGTAGTATTCTGTGCCATGGGCGTACGGGAAGGAAAAAATCAGGGGGGCGGAAGAAAAAATTAGAGGGATGGAAAGAAATTTGCCCAACTTTTTTGGATTGTGCCGGAGTTGTCAAGTTGTCAGGGGTGAAGCGAAATTTTAGTGCGGTTGAACACTTTATTAGAGGGGTTAGAGAGATTCTGCGGGGGGGGAGGGGGTAATTAACCCCCCAGTAAATCTACTCATGATTCATGAATATTAAAATGAGAAAAATCGATACTTTATACCGTATTCAGTATTCCCAGCCATTTTCCAAAACTGATGACACATGATTTGGTGAGAAAATTTATCCCAGTTGTACCCAAGATCCCACTGTGTCCCTGTCCATATATGCAAAATGACAAAATTTGTCACAAATACCTATGCCCCCGGGACTATACTGATTGTCAAATTCCCCACTCATGGGATATACTTTCTCGTCAAATCCCCCCCCCTTGCCCCGTCTCCCTCCCCCCCACCCCCCCACCGGCCTAACATTGTTAGGTGCATAATGCAGTCTAATCCAAGCTAATTGATGCAGGTTAATGCCATCTAATGCACTGTAATATGCAGTCTAATCCGAGCTAATGCAGGTTCAGCCTAGTTTCCAATTGGTCGTTAGTTGTCGCTGGCACCACAAGCGGTAGATTTGAAATAGTCTAATAATGTAATAATAGTCCTTTTGTGCGTTATATGGAAATCAGTTTTAATGATTGCAGAGTTTTATAAAGTTTTGTTGACACTCTATTACATCAGCTACTTGTCGTGCCAGCAACAACTAATGACCAAATGGAAACTAGGCTTTAATGGCATCTATTAACCCCATCTAATGCAGGATAATGCAGTCTAATCCAAGCTAATGCAGGATAATGCAGTCTATAAATCCAAGCTAATGCAGGTTAATGCCATCTAACGTAGGCCAGGGTAATGCAAGGTGATGCATCTAATCCAAAGCTAATTAATGCAGGTTAATGCCATCTAATGCAGGCTAATGCTAATGCAGGCTAATGCCATCTAACGCCATAGGGTAATGCAATCTATATAATATTTTTTATAGAATATCATGTAAACATCCCTTGTGAAAATTCGCATATAGACTATAGTTGACGGGGCCAGCGTGTGTCTTTTAAATAAAGTTTTACCTACCTACTAATATGCAGTCGAAATGTTGAATGTAAACTAATGCTGTTAATACAGTCTAATGTGTGCTAGTGAAGGCTTAAGGCGGATTTCTATTCAGTGCAAAACGTTATGTGATCAAATACAAACAGTCAAGCGAAACTAAATCTCATCAGCTGCAGCGACTGCATACATCTCGAAAGAAAGCGATCACAAACAATCGACAAGAAACTGAATGGAAATCTGCCTTAATTTAATACCATCTAATTTAATCTAGTAGTGTAAGTTACTGTTTAATTAAAACAAGAGCATTAGTGTTTTATCAGATATAAAGATACAAGGTCATGCCGAGCATCTTTAGGTCCAAAAAATCATCCAATGCCAATGCAAATGTTTTAAATTGCTTAAAAAATGGTCGACCTAGTAATTAAGTTCACTGGCAAAGTAATTTTCAAAAAAATATGTTGTGTACATCTAATCATACATATAATCTATTCATATATCATACATATAATCTATATTCTTTGCTGCTGCACTGATTGGCCCTTTGTTCTTTTATCTATAGGGAAAGTAATAAAAACATTTATTGTGAAGAAGTAATACAAGATATTAAAAGAAGCAAAGTTTAAAATCAATTTCTACTAGTCTCGGGTGCTTTCTTCACGACTGAACTCTGAAGTAATGCTGGAATTTTCCAAGAGTAGAAATACATCTCCAGGAGTCTAACCTGGATCTTTTATTTTATAAAAGAACTAACCAGTGATGTATTTTTACAGGAAGAGGGAAAACCGGAGTTCCCGGAGAAAACCCTCGAAGTACAGGAGACATTTTCAGATCTACTGACGCGATTGCATTTGCATCGGCCGTTTTGCAAACACAATCCTGCCAGCAACAACTTCTAACAAGTTGTTACCTGCACTTCATGCATGCACATGCACTAAACTTATCTACTTTTTCATGCACTTAACTTAACTTGGAAAAAAAGGGCAAAGGAGAAGAAAAGATTAGTAACACATAGGGGCAAGGGGGGCAAAGGAGAAAAAA